AGTGGGTACTTTAGTTTAACTGGTCCACCTAAACAACAAAGTCGGGTACCCAATATCTAAAGATGATGATAGTCGTAAGCCATTAGTTTTGGAGAATTATTTGCCGCTGCAAATTGCTTTTTATTATACTTCTAGTCTGTATATTTCGAACTTTAAAAGATACTACGCAATTAATGGATGCAATGTCACAGAATTACAAATAAATTAAGGTATGAAAGCTTGTCTGATAATAGACACGACCATCCATGAAGTCGTTGACATATACTGTTGGTTTTTTCCAATGTCAAATGGGAACACGTAATATCTATCTTCAATTATCATCGCTATTTTAAATAATGTAGTTTGAGGGGGATTTTATAGGAAAATTAGACTTCATCATGAGCTGACATCGGTTCAAGAACCATTGGGAAACCTGGGAGTACTGGACAGCCGTTTCGTCTCACTTTGGGAGCTTTCATCAGTACGCACTCACCCAACATGGTTCGAACCCAGGACACTCTGGTTGCGAGGCGAGTTCGTAGACCATAAGGCCACTGCGCCACGATCCAATAGCCAGTCCACAAATTCCAGCTTCTACCAATTCACGTCAAAGTGCGACCACTAGACAATGTCTTCGGCGAGTATTTGTCCTCACGCTAGACCTTTTGTACCGTACTAGTCATGAATTCCCACTAGAACCGTAAATAACTACCTACCTGAATAGGGCCAGTCACTAGTGAGCACCTCATTGATATTCAAGTATTAGTTTTTAGGGATTTGATTGATTGGTTGCAGGATTTCATCATGAGCTGATATTGTTTACAGAACCATTGAGTAACCTGGGAGTAGTGTACTACTCGGAACCCAAGGGAACAATAATATCTTCCCTTTCTGAGATGACATATCTGTGAACCGGACTTTCAGAGCCGGACTATGAATCATTTTCACTATGTTCCCATAAGAACATAAAGACGGTGCACCCATCAAGTGTATCGATTGTTGCTGATTAAAGATGGACTGACTGGTTTCAACATAGAACTTTACACTGATCTACAGCAGTTCGAGTTGCCATACTTAACTCAGCACACAAAGACAGAGAAGAAAGTAAAAAAAGCAAAATAGAGACAGTAAACAGAGATATGAAGCAAAAGGAATAGTAATGCTGAAGAACAATATAGTTGTATTGGATATTATAAGTCACAAGGAGTGGATGCATCTGAGCCAGCCATTGAGAAAGATTTTGAGCCATATCACCAATTTTCTCCGGCCATAGTTCACTATCCCAAGGACCCCAACCAGGAAGCCAGTCACCAGTTTCCTACGTGGCTTAAACTAACTGTTGTGGATTTCACTGACTGGCGCTATGTTTTGGTTTGATCAACACAAGCTAGCTCTTTTCCAGCCTGACCCTATGTCAGCTGACATTGACCGTCGAGGATGTCGATGCCTAGGCATACGTATCACATGTCCTAACCATCTCTATCTATGTAATTTAACAACCTCGTCAGTCGATTTCTTCTCCTTACTTAGCACTCGAGCGAAGCCTAAACTCAATATCGCTCACCTCATAATGCTAACTGACATAGTAGATAGAACACAGGCACCTATGATCAAGGACAGCTAGCCAACCTTTTCATGTCTTCCGCTCTCAAAGGCCAGGTCTCATAGCCATAAAGGAGGATGCAGCGAACTGCTGAGCAGTACACTTACCCTTTGGTCGATAGCCAGCCGGATATCACGTCTACTAAGCCAGAGATGGCGTTAACTGGAATATGCGAAGATAGCCTTCTGTATTCGTGCCGAGATTTCGTCAGCGATTAACCCGTTGGGGCCGATGCAACTTCCCAAATAAGTGAAGTGGTCAACATGCGGTACAAACCACTTCACTTCCTATTCATAAGCTAGGAGTAGTCGATGTAGTCCAGTCCTGTGGCATCATGTTATATTTGACAAAGGGAAAGAATCGCATGACAAACATTCGAACATTGCTCCTCAGGTCACGGTGTTCAGAAGACTCTGCATTCTGTCAGCGTCTTCACCTACAAGGACTGTATCATCCGCATATTCTAAGTCAACGAGATTACTCCTTGATGGTAACAAGTCAATCTCTGAGTCGCCGAAGTCACCTAGGTTAAGTCCATTAGTAAATCTATGATGAAATTAAATAGAAATGGGGATAACGGGCATCCCTGACGAACACCACTAGTTGTCATCACTTCATATGACAACTCGCTGTTAGATCTCACCTGGCTGCATGAGTTCCAGTAGAGTGCCTTGATCAGTGCAATGTATTTTCTCGGCATTCCTTCCACAGCCAAGCATCTCCAGAGTACCTCTCCATCGAAAGAATCGAATGCCGCCTTTACGTCAAGAAATATGACAACTTTTGGACGCTGGTGAGTATGCCTATGTTCCAGAATCTGTCGGAGGGTGAAGATATGATCAATACACCCTCTTCCTGGTCTAAGGCCTGCCTGGTGCTCTCGTGTTTGTTCCTCCTGGGTACCGTTTAGTCTACGCATTATTACTGAACCTCGAACTTTGGATACCATATTAATCAAGCTAATCCCCCTGTGATTATCACAGGAAGACTTGTCTCTCTTCTTGTATATGGGGATAATCAATGATTTACACCAACCCGACGGGACTTCCTCTGATTCCCAGACGCTTCCTAGTACCTCAGTTAACGTGGACAGTAAACTGTCTCCACCGTGATTAAAGAGATAAGTGATTAGTCTTGTTTTTACTCAGTTATAAACGTCACGAACCTCGCCCAGTTTACTAGTTCGCTAGTTTTCTAGATGTTCCCAAGCACAGGAAAAGAAGCAATTTTGGGCTCAGCGCCTACCTCGGAAAATCAATGCAGTCGCTACAGAATTTTCAAAGCACAAGAACAATATAACAAACAAATTTTTTCTTCTCTGGATTCGAAGAGACGGAATGATGCGAACTGGCGAACGTCTTCAGGAAGCCAGTCAGCCAACCGATGTGTCTTCTCTCAATGAAAGCAAGAATAACAATGGGGACGTGAAATGCTCGTACAATGTACGAGACTAAAATGGCTACCTAGGAGGCTAAAAAAATTATAAGATACGGCATGGGAGTGCTTGGAATCTGTGAGAGCAGGTGGAGTGGATATGGACTGTCAAAATTATCTGCAAGAGAGTGAGCAATCTACTGCGGTCGCCCAGACGACAACCACATGCACACTGAGGGAGTGGTCATCATGTTTTAACCAACAGCAGCCGAATTTCTAATGCAGTGGGAACCAATTTCATCCAGGATTATGACAACAAGGTTCATTTGAAAGGGAAGGAAGGTTACAATTATCCAATGGTACACCTAATGCTAAAAATAACTCAGAATAAGAGGAGAAGAAGGATTTTCCAGTAACAGATAATGTCCCAAATGGCCACATTAAATCCTAGTGAGTGATGTAAATTCCAAACCGCGAGCAGACAATACCGGGACAGAATTCATCATAGGTCAAGAGGCCCTCGACAAGATGACTGACAATGAAGAACTCTTCGTAGACCTCTATGCCATCCATCATTTGATAAGTGAAGGTAGTGTGCACAAGCACAAGGATATACACAAGGTAACATGAGTTTCACCCGACGGACACAGAGAAAACCATGTGGACTGTGTTTCAGCAAAAGAAAGGTGGAGATGCATTCTACCTGGCGCAAAGTCAAGAACTAAGGCCAATGTGGGCTGAGATTATCCAGCGCAACCTTTGAATTCAGTGTTAAGTTATTCAAAGCAGCTGGAGATATATCACAGATCACGCAGAAACTGAAAGATAAAACAATAAAGGGCAAATTCACTGAAGCCATAAAAGCTAAGTCGGAGGAACTACATAACACCACTGAGGAAACTCGTGTGGAAGAACACTAGAAATCCCTAAAACTGAGTTTGGAGGAAACAGGTGCGGCTGTCTTGAGCAAAAAGAAGAGGCGAGTAATGGAATGTCTCTTAACGAACACCTAAAAACTATTAAAGGAGAGGGGATGAGGAAAGAGAAGATGGGCGAATGCTAAGATGGACAAGAGACGGAGCAGCTGATTCGAATGTGGACTACACTGATTAAAAGAAATGAAGAAGAGTGCTAGGAAAGCCAAAAAACAGTTCTACGATATAATGCCTGAAAAGTGAAGCAGAAAAGACAGGCCACAAGTAAAAGAGACGTCATAACTGCATATCAAACAACCAGATCTTCAACAGAGCAAAGATCGACAAAGATAAAAGCTAGATAAGATCGTCGCGTGAATTTAATAACAAATGAACTGATCAATTCTAAACAATCCTGAAACGAACAGAACCTGAAACTTGACCAAAAATAGAACAAACAGACACAGAACTGTCAAAGGAAAACTAACATCCAACGAAAGCAGAAGCAGATCGGAGTAGTGAAAACAAGCCAAAAAGTCAGCAGGAACAGACGCCATTCCTACTATAACAGTGTGAAATGATCAAGAAACAGCAGGAACACACCAATAATAAAAACAAACACGATTAATACAGTCCAAAATGTTTTCTTAATTCACAAGCATTCCATTCACCACAAAACAATTGTCTACACTGTCCTACACATTTACTACTCAACCACCAAGTATTTCGACAATTACTTTCTTCCATCAGACTTGATCATTTCATAGGTAAGGACTAACTTGCATAGTGATCTAGATGTCATTTCCAGTAGTATTGCATACTGAAGGATCATCCCTGTTCGAGGGAAAGCAACTTCACATAAAAGCAGACTAGAAAAGCCATCTTATTGTGAAAATACTCATTTAACTCTTATTTCCTTAGTGATAGGTAGCTGTCGGATTCTTGACTCGTATTCAATACAGGTTGCTACTCGTCATCTGAGTATACCTACATCCTAGTGAGTGATGACGCTCCAATCGGAAATCATTTGAAACGGTGTAGCACTTACCACTGCACTGTGCTACTGAGTTACGATAACCACCTCCTTGCACAATGAATTATCACTTGTATTTATTCATTCATACATTTACCTATAATTAAGTAAAATCACTAACTCATAGGATTTATGGACTGACATCGTGGTACCACGTGAAATCTCACTTCATAACAATCAATCCTGGCTCTCAGTATACACAAGAAACTGCTGACATGAAATACACATTTCAAATTCTACCACAAACCATCAACAAACAAATCATATCAGGATGAAACTGTTGGAAGTATTGAATTGTGGGCTCGGAGTGTTCACGTGACAAATGGAACAGATCAATTCTGTCTAGTTAAACCAGCAGAGAATCAAAAGCAGGAATGAGTGAATAAATAAATAAATAAGCTCTTGATGGCTAATTATTTCGATTCACATAGTTGAACTTCTGTGTGTGGGTCAAACGCAGCGACTTGTTTACACAAACAATATACTTGTGCATGTATCTAAAGGAATTCAATTTGATTCAACCGAAATGCATGTTTATTTTACAACAAACAAACAAAAACATCACAGACTTTTGAGAAGAAAAACGGGGTTTTGTTTACTCGTCCTCACTTTACTTCCAACCATTCGACTCTGTTTTCGATTCAACAAACAACTCATTCAAAGACACACTTGTTCATTGAGCGCGCGAACAAATATTTTCTGTGCTTACTCTTAAAGTATGAGAAATTTCACAATGTTTATCAATTATTACGAATGAATTAAACGGATACACTGTGGAGGGTATTCAGTTATTAGGCAAACAAAACATACTCAATCTATTGAAAATAACTAAAAAATATTTCATCAGACCAAATAAATTATATTTGACGAGTAGGTTCAATTCTCTCCGCCTTCACATCCTATACCACATTCATCGTTACAAAATGAACAACAGTTTAAATCTCGGATAAAATTGAATGAGTAACCCCTGTATAAAAGTGCATAACAGGAGAATAAATGTTAGACTGAAAAAGAATCATAACAAATCACTGCTGACATTGGACTTCTAAATAACTCTGCAATAAAAGTGATTCTGAGATGAACGGTTACACAGTAGAATGAAGCAATCTCTTACGCTGAATAATCAACAAATGGGTTTAGTCAGTTTTCTCGTATGCATTGCACATGTTTCTGTCAGTAGTGATTATTATTATTATTATTACAATTTGACTTCTTGAAAGAAAGAAGTAGCAGGCGACATAATGGTGCAAATTCTACATCAACGCAATCAATAAACATTGTTACTTGAACTACTGGGGCTATGCTCTCATCATAACAACCAATATCTGGTGGTTATTTAACTCTGAATAATCACTAAAACGATAACCGGATATCACAGATTGAAACGAGTTAGAATGTGATGGATATTCATTGGAGGCTAATTCAATGGTGGAGTGGAAGTTGTTCATCCGATCCCTGTTGTTGTCATGAACGTACACCACAACGCAGTGCTCCTTGGTTTCTAGTGTTTCTCTGACTGGATGAAATCTAGATAATTCAGTATGCCATGTTTCAGTGTAAACAGAATCATCTTCAAACAGCTGTTTACGCTGATATAAGAATAAAACTTGAGCACTGTGGTAGAGTGTAATTCCATTATGAGTAAATTTTATTTTGATAGAGTCTCACAGTGTTATACACTAATAATTACTGATGACGTTTCGAGCACAATTTATTGCTCATAATCATATCAAGTTAATCACACGACTTCCTAAATTCATTTATATAGTTCCATTGTTTTTCACTTGATTTTCACTTGATTTGATTGGTAGTATTATTTTCCATATTTCAGGTATGAGTGATGATTCATTTCTATTGCATGTGTTGGGTGTAGATTCGATGAACAAAGATTCAGTAATCAACCTCTCTCTCCACCTACCTAGATTACTTTTTAGAATTTTAACCCTCTCTCACCCTATTGTGTGGTTGTGTGCTAATGTATGCATTGCAATTGCCGAGTCTTTTTCTAAATTACTTATCTTCTCTGGGTCAACCATTCTTACCTTAGCTAAATTCTTATGTTCTGACAATCTGACTACCCCTGGCCTACTAGTTTGACCTATGTAGTTGACCTCACAGTCATTGCAGGGTATTTTGTAAATTATATTATTTTGTCTAATTGGGTCCACTGGGTCCTTTAACCTACAGAGCTTGTCCCTGAGTGAGTTTGTAGGTTTAAATGCCACCCTAATTCCTGCTTTATTCAGAATCCAACGGAGGGTCTCAGATGTCCCCTCTTTATATGGTATAACTGTAGATGACTTATATTCTCTTTTATTTATGTTGCGCATTCAACACTACTCAGAAAAGACACAGAGTCGTTGAACAGTTCGTGCGAGTAAAGTTCATAAAATGGTCAGTGGGAAGAAAGTCGACTATGTAAAACTAGTATAACTACAGAGATTTTTGTCATGACAAGGTGGTTTATAATCAGTTATTTCAGAGATAAACAAAGAGCAATAAACTCATATGCAGACTATGGAACACGACACACAGCATTTAATACTCACCCACATAAATCAGAGACTCTCATCTCATCTCACCTATCTATTTTTCATAGAAAATAAGACCAATTCGTGCAACTCACTAGCATCATCACCCAAACAGATAACTGTAAGATGACATATAGACAGGAGATGAATCAAACACAGCCGACTGGAGATAAATGCAAAAATAATGCTTTCAATAAATCAGGATTAGTAGGATTTACAATAACTGGCGATTATATCATTAATAATGTGAAGGTATTCTGAAGTAAAACTGTGAAGTGTGTGTCGACTCACTCAGAAATGCATATAAGGTTAAAGTTAGTGTTCATTATTCTCAGCTATGTGACAAACTTTATCTGCATGGGTTCCAAACTGCTATGCATACTGTGTTGTCTGGATATAGACGTTCAAGAATAATGATGATAACAACAATAGCCTGATTCAACACGAAATGTTTACACAATGTACAGCATTCACCGAGTAATTTATTCGGTAATATTTCCCCTATATCTATGGATCCCCAGGTAAAGTGGAGATGTGTAGCAAATTATAATTTTCTATCTGAAACATGCAGTAATCCCTTATGATATTTCTCCTCTGATATTAGTGGACAGAAAGCAAATAAAAAAGTGTGCGTAAGTTCATCCTGTGAACAAAGTTGAAAAAATAAGAACTGGAGAAAATTTGATACAGTGTGTTGGTTGGAAATTCAGATAGCCCTGTGATTCAAGAACGCTGCTAAGGTGGACGGATTTATTATTATGGTCCCAATCCGTTCACGTTCAGCAATTATAGGCACAATTTACACCTCCACTCTACTTATTCCTCTCTTCTGTTCATTCAATCTCCATATCCGACCATTACTATCTCCACTGTTATTATTTTCATTCAGAACAATATCCAGTATTACCTCACTTGTCACCCTTTATTCATTTATTGAGTTCCAGATAATCTTCTGTGACATCCTCTTATTGAAATTCGCGACATGACAAGCAATGCTATATTTGTCTACTAATCTTATCGATTCTACACCCCTTCCTAAGATTTATAGATTCCACAAACCACTTTATAAAATCACATAGTTATCGACATCTCAGACAGCGATATCAAGAGAGAGAGAGCTCCACTTTCTATTGTTACAGAACAACAGAAATGAGGGTAAAAGCAGTAAAATCATGACTGTCGATAGAACAACTCAAAGGTTGCATAGTTAAGCTATTTATTTTGTGTGCGTAAGCGCAACATTGGATAATTCGTGATTGAAACCTATGGGGAGTGCATCTGATTGATTGGTTAGAATGTGGATTTGTAGCAGTCATGATAAGGTTACTTTATCGACACGGATATAATTCCTGATCAGCAATTATACGAATAACAAATTATATCTAAGGTAACAAACTAAATAGTATTTGTGTGATAAACGTGCTGGGCTAAATGCAGTTACAAAACAACTTTCCTGTCATTCTACGTTAAAATATGTCAACCATATAACTGATTACTAATGTAATAATAAATTTTATATTTTGTAATTGTTAGAACCTTAAAGAATTTATTGATGGGAGCACTCTACATTGCAACCAATCGATCAGAAGCACTGCCCCCACAACAATGGAGATAGTAATGGTCGGATATGGAGATTGAATGAACAGAAGAGAGGAATAAGTAGAGTGGAGGTGTAAATTGTGCCTATAATTGCTGAACGTGAACGGATTGGGACCGTGGAATTAGGAGTGGTTGGACAAGTCATGTCACTTGACAGAATTCATTTACCATAATAATAAATCTGTCCACCTTAGCAGCGTTCTTGAATCACAGGGCTATCTGAATTTCCAACCAACACACTGTATCAAATTTTCTCCAGTTCTTATTTTTTTCAACCATTGAATTATAACTTAGTTCACAGGATGTACTTACGCACACTTTTTTATTTGCTTTCTGTCCACTAATATCAGAGGAGAAATATCATAAGGGATTACTGCATGTTTCAGATAGAAAATTATAATTTGCTACACATCTCCACTTTACCTGGGGATCCATAGATATAGGGGAAATATTACCGAATAAATTACTCGGTGAATGCTGTACATTGTGTAAACATTTCGTGTTGAATCAGGCTATTGTTGTTATCATCATTATTCTTGAACGTCTATATCCAGACAACACAGTATGCATAGCAGTTTGGAACCCATGCAGATAAAGTTTGTCACATAGCTGAGAATAATGAACACTAACTTTAACCTTATATGCATTTCTGAGTGAGTCGACACACACTTCACAGTTTTACTTCAGAATACCTTCACATTATTAATGATATAATCGCCAGTTATTGTAAATCCTACTAATCCTGATTTATTGAAAGCATTATTTTTGCATTTATCTCCAGTCGGCTGTGTTTGATTCATCTCCTGTCTATATGTCATCTTACAGTTATCTGTTTGGGTGATGATGCTAGTGAGTTGCACGAATTGGTCTTATTTTCTATGAAAAATAGATAGGTGAGATGAGATGAGAGTCTCTGATTTATGTAGGTTTTCACCAGAGTGGATCATTGCACACGAATGAACACTTGCAGATCATATATCTTTTGAAGAGAGAAACAGTGAAATTAGAGAATCT